AAAACGAGTGTTTGTGTGTGCCACCATTACAGTGCGTATCATGTGCAAATATTCATTGGAATTCTATGAATAGAATTGTTTTACATATAATATGCGAGGCATCCCAAATGAAGGCTACGCCACGGAAGGCTATCCTTCGATGGGAAATAGGGAACGGGGGGGGTGGCTGGTGTTAACCAAACCTCAGCATACATTCTTTGAACAACCGATTGATGGGAAAATAGCTGATGGAAACAGCTTGGAAGTACGTTGGAAACTAATCCCAAATTCCAGGAATCATCAAGGAATTCTCAACCCTAAAATGGGATAGAAAATCACGAGAAATTTCTAATTATATGTACACTTGAAGAGTGAAGCTTTCACTTGATGCTTCTTGCTTGCTCTTGCTGCTCCTCCTATACTTTTGACACGCACTGTAGTATGCCACACATGGAAATGGGAGAGTGGAGAGGTTGCGTATCCTAATTTAATACACGTATCACCCATCCAGCTAACTCATGGGGGTTCTTCTTTCTGTAGGCACCAGCCGAGGCTGTGGCGTGTGGGGTTTCTGTTTTGCGGGCTCTCATTAAACTTAATCCCGTTATTCATTTGACAGCATTTCGCATCTGTATGGAGCGCACCCGGACTGACCCACCGACCGACCGCTCATTAACCAGTCATAAAAACACCCCACCACACACCACACCTGCCCCTACCCTAGTCAGCGCCTCTCCGCCACAACAGATTCAGCCAAAGTGAGGCCCCCAGAGGGATTCCACAGAGAACATGTCAGGTTTTTCGTAATTACCCGACAACTCCTCCACTCGACTGTTGATTAAATCATTCACACTTCGATTGATCCCTCCCCTTCCTAGCCCCTATCTTCCGTTGGTAATTAATCAATAGTGGTGCAAATAAATTTATGCAATGTAATTATTTATTGAATGCTAGCAAAAATAATAGATGGAAATAATGGATATGAAAGCAAATCAAGGAAAGACCTGGCTTTTCACGAGAAAATTAAAGCATTAACAAAAGACCTTGACCTCCAATTGGCAAATTGTTAACGGTTTTTGCTGCCCACACACGAGGAGAGAGTAGTTGTCAAAGTCAGGGATTACAAGTGGGCGGAAAAAGTTGATCAAATTTTGCTCAGCATTTGAAGATTAAATCTCAACTTTAGATGAGTTTCTACTCCAAATAAGTTGAACATTTTTCACATACATAGTTTTAGAGCCATCCGAAAGTAAGTTTACAGGGGATTTCGACTATCACAAGATATCAGCGAATGAATCAATATTTAATATAGACGAAGAAACGTCTCCTCCATCGCACTTCTGCTTCAACTACTTTTACAAATTGGATTGTTATCACTCGCAAACGAAACGAAACGAAACGAAACGTCCTTCTGTGTTATTTTGAGGAGTTTTCTCTGGCCCCGGAGACAAGCCCCTTTGTTGTCGCCTGTCAGTGGCAACTGTGTCCCCTCCCCCCACCCTGCTGCCCTGAATGTCAGAGTCAAGGCTGCTGCTTCCTTCACCAAAAATAGTTGTTGGCCAACTTTCGTATGCAAAGGCAATATATATCAACCAGTAGATGGCAACAAACAGTTTTGGCAACATGTGCGGGGGAATCTCCTCAAGCGGATTATCTATCCATCTATCTACTGGGTTCAACTAGTTGGAACTGGCCTCCACTATCCGTTGCAAATCATGGCCATTGTCGTCGCTTATCACACGCTGACAGGCCGAGTCCCACTCCTCCACTGACGCACCAACTGGACAAAAAGATAACATTTAGAAATTGTTATTATCGTTAATGGAGACGTTTACAGGCGCCAAAGACCCCGTCGCAGAGTCTTGTGTCCAATCGAATCGAATGGAATATCGTTGGCTGGCTATATCGCTACAGCACAATGTGTTAAGTGAGTTAACGGCTGTGCTCTGTGGCTCTGCTCTGTGACGTCAGTGCAGTTGCAACAGACTCGAAAGTTCCCGGCAATTGACGGAACAGTCGGTCGGGTCGGATCTGTACTCAATTTATCAATTGGCAGCCAAAAGAGAGATGGTTTTGAGAGCCTCGACTATTTTTTACCCTTTCATAATTATTTTCCCTGGAATACATTCTGCCGCCTATAAAGGGTATCAAAAGAGCGTTATCAAACAGTGCTAGAAACAAGAAAACAAAACAAAAGCGAAACGCAAATAAAAATAGCATAAAATGGACAACAGAAAGACAACAACGACAACGACAGCGAGACGACCACGACCATCGCATCGCATCCACGATTGCGGAGTCGATTGTAGAGGGGGGGGGGGGGGGGGGGGGGGGGGGGGGGTTAGAGAGGTGCAGGAAAAAGATGAGTTGCTTTTATTTTCAAATCGTTTCATTTACGTTTTTGCGTCAGCAGCAGACAGCAAGCAGCGTCGACGACGACGAGGAAACGACGTTGCGTATACATATTTTTAGTCGTCGGTCGTCCCAACATACGCACTCCATCTCCACTCCACTCCCCATATCATCCACCGATCCGCATTTGCCGGCGTTTGTGTTGGTCACCACCAACCACCACCCAACACAACAACCGCGAATCGACAATTGAAATCGAAATCGAAAGCATAAGGCGATTGATCTTTGACAGAGAGAGGGAGGAGTAGAGAGAAGTGGGGTTGGGGTGCAGATCTTCGAGGAACTGATTTCAGCGAACATTTTGTATTGAGTTGTGAAATTAGGAATGAATCCTGAAGCCATGTTCTTATCATTTGATTCGGTTTAAGGTATTTCCTCGAAACAGAAATTTGAGAAACTTTCATGAGGAATGTACTGCAATAGAGGATTAGGATAGGTTGTCATTCTGCTGTAGGAATAGATCTCCCACTCAATGATATGGTTTTCACCCATCTGGGCATGGGCATGCACATAGTTTTCCGAAATAAAAAACAGTTGCTAAGATTACAAATTCAATTAAAAATAGTACCTTAAGCAGTTCGAGCAAAGATTTTCTTTGGCATTTCCACCCCGTGAATCATTATCACTGCGATTATATCTGTGCGCCGCACACTAATTTGTCATCATGTTCTCTAGCGCTGGCAAATTCGCTTTAAATGGCAGGCTACTTATAAGAGGCACTGTCCCTTGGTCTGGGCCTGAGCCTGCTGCTGTCGTCGACGCAGACAAGTGGGCGACAGGACGCTGGCGCTTGGGGATATATGTATTTCTAGCATTGGACGACACCCCTTAGACAAAGGTCGCTATGCAAAGCCAAGGTCGAGATTTACAGTCAGGTCATTGTGTTCTTGGCAGGCAGAAACTCCAACACCCTCACCCAATCCCACACACTCTCTGGCCCCCCCCCCCTGTCAACTAGCTGAGTAAAAAATAGATGAGAAAAGACCAAAAACAACTCAGAAATTTGTATTTGCATTTTGGAATTTATTGCCTTGGCTGAGCGATTTTCCCCATTTTCCAGTTTCCATTTTCCATTTTCCAACTCGTTGTGCAGCTCTGGGGAATATGTTTTTCTTTTTTGGTTTTTTTGGTTACGGCCAAGGGCTTCTTCTGCAGCTGCTTCGCTTCTACTGTTGCTCAAAGCAATTAAAATTTCAGTAAAAACGAAGGGAAGAACAGAACAACAAACCCACCGCATGCCCTGCCCCCCACAGTCCCGCCCATCCGCACAGCCTCCTCCTCCAGCACACGCATCTTCATCTTTCATCGAAGGTCTTGGGGCACGTTTAAAATTCAGCAGCAAAATGACGGGGGAGAAGATGTGACAGCGCAACAATAACGAAATGAAAGGATACATGCACTGACGAAGCTGTAGATACCCTCTCAGAGCATATGCAATGCCATTTCTCAAGAGAAATGTCTTCAAATTTATTTGAATGGGCAATTTCTAAGAATTAGTTGGATTATCGATTTGTATAGTAATCCGATCGGGTCGCTTTCAACTAACTTTCAAGCATGTCCGTGTGCCCAACTACATTCTACTATTCTGTGGCTGCTGTGCTTTTATGGGCTCTCCTTTGCTCTGCAAATTTCCGAAACACCCGCTACAAAAAAGTTTATAACAAAACAAAAGGCAATATGTGGCAGGTGTTGGGGTTATGGGCTTGTCAGTCACGGTCATGGCTGCACCCCATTAGCCCTCTTTCCAGAAACAGCACACCCCAGCCCGCACGCCAACGCAATGGGATACGGGTGTCAGGAAAAGAGCATCAGCATCAGAAGCAGCAGCCTCAGAAGCAGCAGCGGCAGCAGCAGCTGGATGGCCAAGATGCGGAAGGAAAAGGAAATTCAATAAGAGCAACAAGAACAGAAAATATTTTGCCCCCACGCCAAGCACACGCACACACAGCAACAGTAACGGGAACACACCCGCAAGGAAGAGCAGGACCCGATAGCGAGTAAGCGATAGAGAGTGTAATCAGACACGTCGAATATGACAATACTCTTTCTTGTCAAGCATTGTGTTACTCAAAGTTGGGTAAGGGGATGGGAATAAGAATTTACATATCCTGAAAAATCATACTGCATCGGAAAATGTTCACACAGCTCCCACTCTCAATTCTCTACCAGCGAATGCTCTTTTTACCTTAGAGTATCACAGTGTGGTATAACAACAACATTTGTCGGCCAAAGATGGCGCGTGTGCCGTATGTGGGTGGGTGTGCGAAGGCGTCTGCGGGGGCGAGTGTGTGTGCGGCGGGATGAGGTAAGGATAGCTTTGCGGTGCAATAATTTCAAGTGCGTAGTACATAATAGCCTCTGTTTATTGGGGACTTTTCAGCGGCATTTGTTATAAACAAAATACAGTCGGCACACGATGGAGCGCGAGCGCGAGGGCGGGGGGATTTATCAGTGACCAGACGCTGTGGCAGCAGCAACAAATTGCACGTAAAAAAGGCGTCAACTGGCTTGCTGTACCTCTCTCTGTCTCTGCTCTTCGAATTACATAAGGAATTCTTGGAAAAATGCAGGCGATTTGCATATGATAGAATGAAACTGTATTTACTTACCGTTTTAGCGACTATTTGCGATAATTGAAACTGCGATAATTTTTCCGCCAATAGCCAGACGATGGAGCTGCAAGTCGTCTCTCCGCTGCTTGTGTTCCTCTCGCTGGGGCTGCTCTCTGTTAAAATTAGTGCACAATGCCTGCTATTGTTGCTATTTAGTTGGTCAGAGGTTGCACTTAAGGTTTTTGCATTCCTTTAATCTGCGTCATTCGCGAAGACGCGACACAAATTGCTTTTTCCGCAACGCTTCACAAAACACAAAACACATCCGCCTCGTTGGAAAACTTTTAAAACTTTGGAAAGCTTTGAAACAGCTGACAGCTGACAGCTGTCTTCTAGAAATGTATCTTGCCATGCCTCACCTGTAACCTATTTCACCTGTACTCATATTTATTTATATTTATTCCTATTCCATAATTAGCAGTTAATTCTTAATTGAAAATATATAAATAAATAAATACCATAACCATTGTCCATAGTCAAATATTAATAAGTATCTTTTATTTTATATATAGTGGTTCTTATTAGTGGTTCAAATTCTCTTCGCAAAGCAAAATAGCTTTCAAAACTCCCTTAACAAAGCAAAAGAGCTTTCATGGTGCGAAATTTGTATCAAAAATTAAGGTGTCGACAATCGGAAAATAAGTCACAAAAATTGGTTTAATTGATTTCAACCGATAAAATTGGAGACAAATAATTTGAAAAAATACTGATATTTATTTATTTGTTATTTAATCGCTACATCGAAATGGGTTGGTCGCATGGTAAAAGTAATTTTTCGGTATATTTTTGAGACTCCGAAGGTATATTTGATTGATAAAAGCGCGGTCACACTGCATACAACAAAAATAAATTCAATAAATTAGTAAAAAAAAGGCGGACATTAGTTTTTCTATTAAAATATCAGCTAAGCTCAGCTGCTAAGTGAAAAACGAACAACCATGGCCAACGTAGAGTCAATGATTGTGGAGGAAAAGACGCAGGTGAAGCAGATCGACCGCGAAAAGGTAAGTTTTCCTGTCCAACACTTGCAACCGGCTTGGCTGGTGCAAATTGTGTTTTTATTTTTCTGTTATTAATTTCCTATAACACGTTCCCGAGCAGACATGTCCGCTGTTGCTGCGTGTTTTCTGCTCGACGGGCCGCCACCACTCAGTGTCGGAGTACATGTTTGGCAGTGTGCCAACCAACGAGCTGCAGATCTACACCTGGCAGGACGCCACCCTTCACGAGCTGACGTCCCTGGTGCGGGATGTGAATCCAGATACGCGCAAAAAGGGCACCTACTTTGACTTTGCCGTGGTGTATCCGAACTTTCGCAACAACCACTTCCAAATGCGCGAAATCGGAGTGACGTGCACGGGCCAAAAGGGCATCGACGACAACAAGACCCTCGCCCAGGCAAAATTCAGCATTGGCGACTTTCTGGACATTTCCATTACGCCGCCCAACCGCCTTCCGCCCCCAGCTCGCCGCCAGCGACCCTACTAATGGGATTGATTGATTTATAATCAAGATATATCTACACGCTAATCATTTAATTTCACTTTCACTTGACACTCAATGAAATATGGACGTAATTATACGATGGATACACAAAAGACGGAGACTTAAGAGCTGCTTTGACTTAAGGTGCTACTGTGATGAGGAGGCGGGGGCGAGCATACCTCCTAGTTCCTGTATATGCTACTGGGACGCTTGGACTTCTTTTTGCCCAGCTGCGTCATGTCGATCTCCAGACCATTCGGCAGCACGGCCCGGTTCTCCTCGTAGTTGATGAAGCCGTTCTCCTGCAGCTCCTCGTCGTTGTCGCGGGCATTGGGATCGCACCGGATCCCCGTTTCGTAGTTGTACTCCCGTTTGTTGCCATCCGGATCGATGTAGCCATACGTTCCCCTGCAATGACAAAAGGAATTATGCATTATGGATTTGGTGGAGTCTCTTTTGTGTGCCACTCACTTGGTGATGCAGTCGGTGCCAATGAGCTCCTCCTTGAAGGATCCATCATCGTTCTCGTAGCCCCAGGTGATGCTGCCGTCCTCGTTCTCGTCGCGCCACTTGCGCAGTGTCTGGGCCACTGGCCGCCTAGGACGCTGCTGCTGCTGCTGGTACTGGTGCTCCCTCTCCGACCGCTCGTCCTGCAGCTGATTCTGGTCGATGATGGGACGCGGCTGCACAGGCTTGGGTCTGGGACGAGTTGCCTGCTGCAACTGCTGCACTGGTGGCTCGGGGCGCACGGCAGCGGCTGGTCGCGTGCGGATCACGGCCACTCGCTGTTGCTGCTGCTGCGGCTGAGGTGGTGGCGGGGCCGCTGCTGTAGGCGTAGGGCGCTGCTCCAGCCCGAATCGCTGCGAGTTCTCAAAGCGACCGATGCCAAAGTCGTTGAAGGCTGCGGGTCGATTTGCTGGCGCAGGAATGGATGGACGATCGGCGAAGCGTGGTGGAGCGGGCAGGATGGCCGTCGGCTGTGAGTCCTCGTTTTGCTGCAGAAACTGCTGCACCGGCGACGGCGACTCGCTGGCCTGCTGACCGTTCAGGAAGGCTGCTGCCGCCTGCTGGAACTGCGACTGCTGGGAGTGGGCCAGCTGCTGCTCTCGCAGAAGATTTGGCAGATACGGTTCCGGCTGCTCATCCTCGGCAGCCTCCGTGACAGGCCTCTCCTCGATGGGCTGTGATATGCGCTGTGTAACAGGCGGCAGGATGGCATTCGTCTGTCGCAGTGACTGTCCTGGACGGCGCACACGCAGCACGGTCTGGCGGTGCGGCGCTTGTCCAGGCGTCACCAAAGCCCCCGGAATGTTCAGGCGTTGCGGATAGTTCTGTGCCTCGACCAGAGCCAGGGCCAGGGCGCTGCAAAAGAGCTGCAAGTGGAGCGACACATTAGTCGAAGCTGGAGTGTGTCTCCAGGGGCTGCAGGCTATGGCTTATGGCTTATGGCTCTGTGCCAACAATTGCAACAGAAACTCAGAGCTCAGCCATGCCACACGTGGCCAATTTGTCGGCGGCTCCTCTTTTGGATTGCCCCCCTAATAAGTGGAGTTTTATCTATGTGTGGGTCTACTTCTATTTCTATATCTACCTTATTTATGGGTAAGTATTGCTTTGTTTCATCACTTTATAGACCCATTTGGTGGTGGAATACGAATTTGATACGCATTTGGCAGGTTAAATTAGCTTCCAATTGGTGTTGGCAGTGGGTTTTGGTTAGGGAAGTGAAAGAATTTCAGATACTTTGATCATTTTCTATCAAACAAAAGCAAGTATTCGGTAGATCAGCGTCTTCCTGTTGTTTCTATATTAATGTGTAACCACACACTGTTTCAGTGTCCCCAAAGTCGCATTTTCTATGGGTTTTCCCCCAATTTAGCTGGCACCCCTTTTGGAGCAGCTCACTCACACCTTTTGTGAACTGGTTTTCAGAAATTTATACACCGCTTATTTACTCCGGGTAGGCCGCCAACAATTTGTAATTGTACGTATAAAATGGTATAACGTGTGGCGGTGCAATAGCTGTAAATGTGGACCATAAAGCGAATCGCAGAAATCGCTGGCAAACCCCGCCCCAGCAGCACCAGCAGCAGCAGCAGCAGCACCACCACCACCACCGCCGCTGCCGATCGATCATAAAACCGAACCGAAGCCCAGAGTCAGAGTTAGAGCCGGAGCTAGAGCTAGAGCTAGAGCCAGAGTCAGAGACCAAGATATATTCGTAGTTATTTTGTTTCTGTTTTGTTTTGTCTGGGTTGCGTAATTTGGATTTTGTCAGAGTTATGCGACTCTCTTGGTGCGCGGCATGTGGCATGTGGAAAGCGAATTTTTCTAGTCGCTGATCGCCAAAAGTTTCCGGTTCGCAAAAGAAGTCAAAGTCTAGGACAAGTGACTAGTGTAGTCCAAGTCTCTACCGACTGACGACCGATTTGTGAGATTTCATTATTTTTAATTAGTGGCCGCCGCCGCTGCCGCTGCCGCTGGTGTTGCAGTTGCACAAGGCGTGAGGTGAGGCAAAGAGCCGAGGAGCCGGCTTATGGCTTTTGGGTTTCGGTTTCCATCTGGTCACAGATCAGATAACTTTGCTCCACTTTGTGGCGCGGTAGCTGTTCCCTTTATAAAGAATTATGGCCATGGGGGAAGTAAATAAAAATTCAATCCGGAATAACGGCTGCCATTAGGGTTCTTGACACTAGATATGGACACTAGAATGTGGAAAACTCGTTTCAATTTTTAAGGTTTTTGGCAATTTCTAGGAATATTTTCATGGTTCAATCTTGGGCTGGCAAATTTTTTGAACAAAAAGAGAAGCCCAGCTCAAGTGGATATTTCCTGAGTATTTAGAGCAACAAAAGTAAATCTGCATCTCCATAGTTTTCTTTCCCCCTTTTGCATAGTAAAAGCCTTTCTATCCTGCCCACTTGAATAAACGTAGTTGTAAAATTGATATCCAGCAGCTCTGCCCAAAACATGATCTATCTCTCGACCGTATCCATCCCCATGGTGCATGCAAATTTTGTTATGTACTCAGTCAACACACATTTTTGTTTCGGTTTTTTGTTGTTGCTCGCATTATTATTATTATCCATTACTTTCCTGTATCCGAGCCATTTATATTTTGTTGTCTTGTCTGAGTTTCATGTGCAGCCATTGAAGCCGAACATTCCAGTGGCGGACTTGGCTGACTGCCCAACAACTACCTGGTCAAGTGAACTACTTGGCTTTAAACAAAATTAATGAAAAGCCAAAGAGGTACAGCCTCAGAGAGAGAGAGAGAGAGAGAGGGGGAGAGAGCCAGACACTTGCAACCAGTGCCAGCTCGAGTGTTTTTGGTTGCATTTTCTGGCGGGGGAACTTGATTGCTTTTATGACTCCCCACACTCCACTGCCCGTCGCTCCACCTCATGTGGTTTGGTTCAAGGAAACCAGCGCAAGAGACAGCCGAAAAATGTGCTGACAAAGATTGCGATGGGAAGGCATTCGCAAGCCAAGCCCAAGTCGCAGACTGGGCTACAGGCTACAGGCTACGTGGGTGTAGCAGACTCATCAAAGATGCTGTTGGGGTAGGGCCAGCCACCGGTCTGATCTCATCTGCTCTGTCATTAGTTACAATAACAATAACAATAACAATAACCTGGCTAAGGACTTCTCTTCTGGCCTTGACTTGGCCATTGACTGAATGAAATCGAAATTTACGCTCCTCTCCATCGAAGACTGTTTTTCTCGTTTCTTGCTGCTCGCTTCACGTTTCTGGAATAGTTGTCGGTGCACTTTCAACAAGCCGGCTTTCAGACTGCACAAAATATGTAACACTTTATTCAGAAACGAGTACATAAATAAATGCATATACGTGTGCATTACGTAACCCTCTCAATACACAACACACACATGTATACCCCGCCCAAAGCTGCGTTTTGAGTGTGGGTCTGTCTGCCGCCTGTATCTTTGTATCTTTATTAACTGCATCTGCTCTTGGCTTCGCTTGGAGTGGAGTGGAGTGGAGTGGAGTGGCTTTCAGTGTGTGCTCTGTGCGTGCCAAGAATTTGCATTAAATTGCTGCTGCCTTGGTTGAGTTTTTGGGAGCCTCAATCAACTAGTTATTGGCCACGGACCAGCAGCAAACGACCTTGATACAAATAATACACATTATGACCAGGCCCAGACGCAGGCCACAGTCACAGTCACAGCCACAGCCACACAATGATTTGTCGTGCTCTCCAAAAATTACCGGCAAATTGAGTGTTGCTAGTGATTATCATTTCATTTCATTTCGTTTCGTTTCGAGCAAGTTTTTGGCAAACTCATTAGGCCACATCCACAATTTGGCCAAGCCACAATTCAATCAATCAATCAATGGCATGAAAAATTGTATTAGTAACGCTGATTAATGGGGTAAGCTATAGAATGGAATTCTGAAAGAAGGATTTTATTGAGTTTTACGTATTTTTAAGTGTGATTTTTTGTGAAGAAAACTTTCAACTATTTTGAGCTCCAAAAGAGACATGATGTGTTATCTATTTAATACAGTTTTTTTTGCCAACTAACTCACACAATTATTGTGCCCTCAAGTCGTAACAGGTAATTGACAATTTATCAGCCCCAAAGCTCAGTGGCAAATTTTTGCTATTGATAATCTTTTGGGCTATACAGCAAATTGAACTTAAGCCAATTGTGGCTGAAGTTTGAGAGCTGATTATGGGGTTACTTGCAAAGGGAGGGGCGAGGCTTTGTGTTTGAAAGGCAAACAACGCTCGTTAAAATCCGCGCTGACCCGAGGGCTTGGTTGAGCAATTCCACCCAACGGAATTCTTGGGCCACACAACAAAACAGGCAACAATCGATGGAGCGATTGTATCGCATATTTATGATGCGATCTTGAGGTATTTTCATGATTCCAAAACAAAATCAAATGTCAGTTGTCGAGCGCTAATTGCTAATTGCATTGCATTGAGGCAGACATTGAGGGACTTTCTAGAAAATGCAAATCAACAATGAGCAGGTAAACAGGAGAGCGACTAAGCTGAATATGTCTCAATCGGCGACCCAATCAGCTATTGAATGGCGATCTTAAGCTGCTAACCGAACGACCTTGCTTGGCGTTCGAGTTTGTTGCATGCTGCATGATTCACACACATAACTTCTATGACAAAGAACTGTGACACTCATGGGTGGAATCCTGGTTGGGGGAGAACTTACCGCAATCAGCTGCAGTTGCATGATGAATGTGTGCGACTTCTTCTCTATCCAAATTGCAACACACTTCCGGAAATCAATAAAAACACACTGAGAGACAGAACCAATTTTACCGCAGGGCAGGGCACCGGAGTAGTTACTTTTTGGCCAACCGTTGAACGCTCAAATGCTGGGCGCACCAGGTGTGTAGGCGACTTTATAGGCGGCTCGGCTCGGATCGGCTGGGTCGGAGCTTTGGGCTGTCCGTGGCAAATTTATGTGAGGCGTGTGCTGTGTACGGCGTGTGAAATGCTGAAAGTAGTGCGTCTCGTCTGCACAATTAGCTCCGGTTAGCGCATCGCATCTCTCGATGAAGTAATGCAAAGGAAAGTGAAGGTGAATGGATTTTTTGGCACATGAGAATTGAGCTGCGTGGAACGTGATTTAGATTTTAAATTACTTTTACCGCGTAATGTATGTGTCCCACAAAAACTCAGACAGCTGGCAACGCTGCTCCTAGCTGAGCTTTTGGTGGTTTTGAGCTTTGCTTTTGTCCGGAAACTGAAAGCCAAAGAAAGGAGACGTGCTTCAGCGTCCGTCCATACGCAAGTTTTATAGCAAGCTTAGCAGAGTCGGGAACCATTTGTGAGTTAGCTGGTTTATTGGTTTTCAACTTGACTACAGTGGGACCTTTTCTGTCTAGTTAGTTCGGCCAGGTTTTTTGGGACTTTTGATAACTTTGACGGCAAATTTATGAACCTTGGCGCCAGTTGTACCAAATAGGAGCGGGACGGGTAGGGAGAGGGTAGTCGGGCGCCCCAATCTAAGGGGCGTCTTCGAACTCACATCGGATTTAGCAGAAATAAATTCAGCTCATTTAATTAAAAAAAATATAAATAAAACATAAAAAATACAAAACTTAGTTTAGTGTAGAATGAGACAAAACGTTCAAGTGCGGGTGCTATGCCCCAAACATATACATATATGTGTGTGTGTGTGTGTGTGGTTCCAATATATCACAGATAGGCATGTCCAAGCGGGAGAGTTCTCGTTTTTAGATTCCAGCTAATTCACATCCTTCATCAGGCAAATGGCAATGGCACCGATGAGCCCACAAACTCCCATGACATTCAGCGGCAGTAGGGCGTCAATGCGTTCCTGGAAGGGCAAGCAAAACGATGATAATAGGGGTTAAAAGAGGGGAAAGGGAGCAAGAGTACCCACCAAATGCCAGAGGAAGGGAACGAGGATGAGGCCAATGCCAGAGGCTAGATTGCCCATTCCGACGCCAAAGTTGCGCACCATTGTCGGATACTGCATGGCCGTGTAGGTGGGAATGATGGCATTGTTCGCACCAATCAGACACTTGGCTGCATTAGGAACATTAGAAGGATTAGCTCTATGAAGGGTTCAGGAGTGGCAGGATGAGGATGACTCACCTATGGTGGCCAGGGCTATCACACCCGTCTGGCTGGTCGCCAAATTCGTGGCCAGGCAGCAGATGCCCGGCAACAGCATGTAACCGATGAGACTCCTGCGAATGCCTGCCTTGAGCACCACCAGGATGCTCGTGCAGATGGACACGGCCTCGATGGTGCCCGCGACGGCATTGTTGATGTAGATATTCCCACCGAGATTGCTCAGGTGAAGCGTCAACCCAAAGTAGATGATAATCAGGGTGAGCCAAATGATCAGTGTAAGGCAGGTGGTGCGCCAGTACTTTGCGCCAAACACCACCAGAAGGGGATTTACATGACCGCTTCTATGGGTGTCCAATTGCGCGGCACTGGGACTGCCACTGGCACCCATCACCTCCTCACTGTTGGCCTCTGGCTGGGGCTGGACCGCCCGTGGGACTGCTGCCTCCAGGGTCTTGCGATAGTTGTGTGGCAGCGTGCCGCTGGTGCCATTCGTTTTGGCCGCTCGCTCAATTAATCCGCAGAGTTCATCCAGGCGGCCCTGGGCCAGCAGCCAACGGGGCGACTCCGGTAGCCAGAACCTAAGAAGGGAAAGCAGAAGTGGTATCAATGTCAGGCACTCCACCCCCTCGACGAGTATTTATTGGCATTGTGGAATGTTTTTCATTTGTTGGCAATTGAATTGCTGGCTAATGTGTGGCTAATCCTTGGGCTGCTCCTTGAGTGTAAACACTGAGGAATGTCCCAAGGATTCCTCTTAGTCCCTTGGGAATCTAATTGATCCCACGCATCATTGTGTGTGGGATTCTTTTCTGCTTCTGTTGCTGTTTCCGTTTCTGCCTCTGCTTCGTTCTGTTGTCCATTCATTTTGTTGACTGCCTGCGAAGAATGCTGAACGCTTTGAAGTCGCAATGTGGCTGCCAGAAGGTTGGCCATTCGAAATGGAACAAAAAGGACTTGCAGGTTGAATGGAAACTTGAGTTGAAGGTGGTAATTCTGTTGGGTTGCCTAGGGGAAATTAGTTGCCTTTGCTACAACTAGATCTAAGTATCATAAGTAGCAGAATTTTGTTGTTTTATGGCATATTTTTGGATGGTTTGTTCCGCCATTGAAGAAGGAATATTTCCATCTAAAACTCTTCTTTTGGATTTGATAAGTCGATAGATTTAAAGGTAGAACTTCCAACAAATGAAGTAATTCCCTTTTCAAAGAAACCCTCTAGAAGGTTTTTTTTTTCTTAATAAACACATAATTAAAGTCACTTACCATATACTAAGCATAATTAGCCAGGGCCATGAGATGACCAGCTGCAGGATGCGCCAGTCGCGTATGAGATAGGCCAGGCCAGAGGCCAGGACGTAGGTTATGGCCACGGGCAGAATGTTGAGAATGCCGATTATGGTGCGCCACTTGCCGGAGACCAGCTCCACCACCAGCACGAAGCTCACAACAGTCACGGTCATTGATGCGAATCCAATTATAACACGTAGCGACATGAACATGGCCACCGATGTTGAGAAGGCCAAAATTCCACCTGCAACAGAGACAGAGACAGAACGAGAGCGAAAGAAAGAGTGTGAGTGAGAGAGAGAGAGAGAGAGAGAGAGAGAGAGATGTGTGGCAGAGGCAAGGCAGCGAGAGAATGTCAGTGGCAAGGTCAGGCACGTAAATAAAGGCGTAAAGTCAATTAAAATCCCAACCCAGACAGCAGAACACCAGAACATGCCACAGAGAGACAGAGAGACAAATGCACAAATGCACAAATGTAAATGCAAATGCACAAATGCTCACTCATCCGCAGGAGCAGGAGCAGGAGCAGGAGCAGAATCAGCAGGACGGCAGCATCCCTTGATGCATGTAAATGACAATTAGAAAATGAATACCCAAAAACCCAAATTGCCATGCTCAAATCCCCTCCTCCACACATGTGCAACCAAATCAAAATCCTGGCCACAATCACGAGTCCATCGGCTATGCATTGCACTCACCGAAAACACTTTGAATCGTCACGAACGCCATTAGGGTGTGCCGCCTGCCAAAACGATCCGAAATCCAGCCACTGAGCACGGCTCCAGCGGCAGCGCCCACCAGGAAGCAGGTCTCCACCAGGCTGAGTATATCCCGACCGCAGACCAGCTCAAACTCCTGCACCAGTGTCAGTGCTTCATTGTCGGAGAACTCAAAGTCCTGGCACTGCCTGTAGCCCAAGTCGCTGGCATTCGCGGGCCAATTCGTCAGCTTGCCATCCTCGAGAATCAACTGGGTATAGTCCACGTCCAGCAGGAGGCAGCCATCGGCAGTCTGACTAAGATTACGCCATTCAGAGAGATTCATTTGCTGGAGATTCGCCGGTTGGGCACACCAAAAGTCCTTGGGTGCCGTCTGTGGGGGTTAGAGGTATCGGAAAGGTAAAATATTTAATTAGTGGTAGACTCTCTGTAATCTGTAGGAAAAATATGACCCTGTCTCGTGCTTTCTTCTGACTATTATTTAACTAATTTGTTGTCTAATAAATTCTCTAAAACTCATTTCCCTTTTTAAAAGTCATTTAACTCAATGGAATTACTCTAAAGTATTCTGTCAGAGAGTTCCCTCTTACATCAACCGTTCAAAACCAATTAAAAACCTAAAAATCTTTAGTATAACTCTTCCCAGAATTTCAGCCACAAGTTGTCCAAAGAGAATACCCAAAATCTTCAAACACTTGAGCATACGACTCACGTTTGCAATTACTACGTGAACTACATAAGACATTATGCCAGTCTCAATCTGTATTCGAATCCCCAATCAATGTTCGAATGACAAGTTTTTTATGTTTGAAAAAGCCATAAATTGAATGGGAGAAATGCAAAGTCGATGCCGCAGATACAAGTACGAGTACGTTGAGATTTCTTCCGTTGTTAGTTTTTACAACTCAATTAATTTCATTACGTTTTACATTTCAGTGCAACGCGAACGTGTTCCGTGACAGCCTAACAGTCCGCAAAATGGTGTACAGACAAGATGAACTCAAAGGAGAAGTGCTGTGCGGCTGTGACTGATTGAAGATCGAATCAATGTAAGCCGCTTATCAAAGAACAGGTACACGGCACTTTCAAAAAGGTTATTCACAGCGACTCAAAGGACTCTCACTCACTCACTCACTCATTCACTTTACGTTACTTCACTCACTCTTTCCGGTAGGCAAACCTCGGAACAGGTCGAAAGCCCTGCCCCTGCCCCGACTGTGGAAACGTGCCTCAATTAAACATTTAGTATGCTGGTGAGGAAACTGTTTCAAGTTCAAGTTAAAGTGCTCAACATGCTCAATAATTCAATCGAAAGAGGCTCTCTCGCGGCTTCCCTGTAAGGTGAGAGGAAATGTTCTTTGGTGGTTTATGAGCACAGCACATCGGCAACTGTTGATCGTGTGTCGTGTGGCGTGTGGCAGGCTGTGATGTCATTTGCCGCGCGGTTTGTGCCACTCGTTGCGCTCTCTTTCACTCTCTGTGTCTGTCGGTTGCCGCCTGTCACGTTTCAGGCATTTGCATGGCACTCAACATACGAATGCACTCGTGCAACAATGGAATTCAGTATCCGCAGCGTGGGCTTAACTTGTCCGCAGAACCAAACCACATCAAGAGATTTTTTTGCAATTATTTTTGCTGTATATTTTTGATAAATTGCTTTGCAGATATGCACGAGTTGCAGCTCTAATGACGGGCATAGCCACACTGGTTGGGGGAACCTTTTCTCTTACGTAAATCCATACCTTAAGGGCTCGGCGTTCCA